ACTTCTGAGTGATGGGCATATGGGTAATGTCTTATTCCTTGTGCTTTTTTTTTTTTTTTTTTGTCCTTGTTGAGACAGGTTCTCACTACTGCTGACGCTGGTCTTGAACTCACGGCCTAAAGCAATCCTCCTGCCTCTGCATCCCAAAGGGCTGGGATTACAGGCGTGAGCTACCACACCCAGCCATCCTTGTAGTTTTAAAATTCCCCTCCACTCCCCAAAAGCTACATTTTTAGACACATGTTTCTGTGACCTAGAAAATTAGTCTGGAGGAATTGGACTTTTTTATATAGCCATTTATCCAAAGAAGGATTGTGCAAGTTCAACTTTTTAGTTTCACTTTGTACCAATGACTTTAATAATTTTTAAATATCATTTTTCAGTGAGAATGCAGAAGCTCTGGCTCAACTTTTGCCCCTGGCACGATGGATACAGACTGTTCTCACCAGAATATCAGGTTATAATATAAGACATGCTAAAGGTTTGCTTAAATTTATTTTATATTAGCTGTGTGAAAATTGTCAGAATCTTTTTTTAAGTAATTATTATGATAAAATATGGTTTATAAGAACAGATTTGTTGAATATCAGAAAATAGAGATTTTTGAAGCGAAGACTAAGTTTGGCTTAAATCACTTTATTCAATCTTTTTTTTTATACCAGGAGGCAATATAGACAGTGATTAATCTGTCTATCCAATTTGTCTATCTGGTTGAGCCAAGATGGTAGACTGCTTGGATTTAGATCTTGGATTCAAGATTCATCTAAATCACTAAGATACACAGTTACTGGATATGTGATCTTGGGCAAGTTACTTAAGCTCTGTTTACTTCAACTTCTTATTTGCAAATCAGAGATAATAATAGTACCTATTTCATTGACTGAAGAATTAATTGAGTTACATGTAAAGTAGAATAGTCCATGGTACATAGAATATTGTTAATATGTTGTCAGTAATAGTAGTAATAACAAAAACATTTTAAAACTGTTACCTTATTTACATATTCTTTATAATTGAGAGACAAATGTGGCTATTAATGGAGCTATGCTTGAAAAGAGCATTTAAAAAAATTCAGTGAAGAAAAGTTGTCTTTCTTTTTTAGGCTATGAATCAATAGGATGAAGAAGGCAAAGTCTAGTATTTAAAAAAGTATTCTCTCATTCCCTCATTGAATCTAAAATTGATGAAAACTATACTCAAAATATTTAGGTCTTATTTCTACCATCCATACCTTCTGTATTTATCTACATTTTTCATGATTATTTCACCCTCTGTTATGCTTTATGTCCTTCCAGTTATGTACTTTTAGGGAAAATAAAGAATGTATGTAAAAGCTATAGAGAAAAATAGGGATGATAGTTTTATTTCTCATCACCATAGTCAATATAAGCTGTCAGGTATTTAAGTGTTGAATTATACCCTAAGCACTGTACAAGGATTTATGTTCCTAGCTTTGTTGATCTCACAAGTGTGCGTGTTGTGCAGTTAAGAGAATGATCAAGAGGAAGTGGCATTAATAACCAGATTTTATAGTGCAAAACAATAGGACTCATAGGATTTTTAAGGAGGAATTGATCTGTAGAGGCTGAAGTAGTAAGGGAAAGTGCCATGGAGAAAATGGGATTTGATTTGACTTTGGACCAAATTTGAATGTGTGGCAGGGATAAGAAGAACATTCAGGTAGAGAAAAGAGAAAACATTTTTAAAGAAGTATGAGCACTGCATTTTTAGAGACATTGAAAAAGTCTGGCCTACCTGAGTTGAGGGTACACAGTGGGGAAATAGTGAGAGTATGGGGCACTATTGAGGGCTGTGGATAACAGTTTGGACTTGGTCATTTAGAAACATGAAATGATGGAAGATGACAGCAATGAATGAGTTTGGCAATGTCCTGTCAATTTCCCTTTCTTCCGTCATTAATTTTATAGCAAAACCTTTTTCGTGACTCATGCTTATGGGGTAACAATACGTTTGCTGAAAAACTCCTCTAGCAAAACACCTTATTTTGCTAAGAAGTGATTTTTAACATGTACCTACTACTTTGCCACTTGTTTTAAGCACTGAGAAGTCAGTTTATGGGGTTCTTCTTATTCTTCATAATAATTTAAAATGACTTTGGCACATGTGAATTTGGTTTCTTTTTAAAATATTGTAGATTGGCATCCTGATTTTTAGGTCTCAAAAATTCAGCCTTAACTCAGATTTTTATTATCATTTTGGCCTCTAAATGCTTTAATTGGAAGTCTCAAACATGGCTTTAAGTGGAAAGGTCACTTAATTATTAGTAGGACCTCAGTGACTATAGAAGAACAAGAATTGTAAGAGTGATTAGTATCTTTTAAGCATACGTACTAATTTATTTAGAAGCCTGTATTTTTCAGAGAAGGAAAATACTGAACATAATTTACAGAAAAACTGTTGAAATAAAGAACTTTAAAAAAAAGAGAAATCATGGAATGATTATAATTTTTAAGCAAGTGCCTAGCATTTATTCTGGTAGCTCTTAAATGTGGAAATGGTGCATCAGATGGGTTGGAGCAGTGAGGAAATGACTCAAGAAGATTAATTAGGAATCAGTTGTCCTGGTCCTACCAGGAGATGATGAGAGGTAGTGGCAGTGGGCATTGATAAGTTCTCTCTGAATACTTATTGAATGGCTAATTGTTTGGGGAAAAGAAACAAAGCCAAGAGTTGTGAAGGAAGAATTGCAAAGAAAGTTGTAAGCATTTTATCTTTATTTCCATTTAGAGATTTAGGGAGCTTAGAAGACAGAAGAGATAATGAATTCAGTATTTATTTTTATGCTGTGTTGTTTGGTGCATACGGAGAAGTAAAAAAAAGCATAGTCATAATGGGAGATTTTACCAGATCTTTCCAAGAACATAGCTGGTTAAGTTTGTCCTAAGATAAATAAAGATTCAGAGAATTTTTTAAATTACGCTTGATTTAATAATATTTTTATAGAACTTTGTTCTCATTAGAGAATATACTTTTATCAGAATATCCATGGATTATTAACAGAGATTAATGAATTAGGCCATATTAAAATCTCAATAATTTTCAAAAATAAAAATTATGTGGGACACTTACACTGTCCACAATACAATAAAACTAAAGTCAATAATAAAAAGCCCCAAAACCTAATGAATTAGGAATTTAAAAAAATTTTTTATGTAACTCTTGAATTTGAGGAAAAAACTAGGGAAAGAGAAATCACTGACTATTTAGAAATTAACAAGAATAAGAACAACACAGATCAAAATCCATGGAATATGGCCAAAACCATACCCAGAAGACAGCTCAAAAGGGATGATGCTCAGATTGGGTTTATTCTAAGAGTACAATGATGGAAATTTCTTACAGTAATACGTTTAAGGAGAAAACTAATATGGTCATTATAATAGCTTTCTTAAAAGGCACCTGATAAAATACAGCATCTATTCCAAATAAATTCCTAACAAACACACTTTCACAGAATACAAAAAGCCGGAATATCTAGTCTCTGAAAAGTAAACAATAGCAGGCAGATTGGGTATTAACATCAAAATTTGAAGAATGATTAACACAGGCAGTGAGTTTCCTGGAGCTTTTTTCCTCCTTTATTTCCCAACTTCGACCCAAGGACAGCCTTAATCACAGAACTGTGCAACAGGCATGAACAGCAAAAAATCCAAAAAAGATGCCATCTCTTTGTGGCCAGAAAAGACCAGGAAAAGAAGCCCTTCAGAGCCAAAGTATAAAAGGAATTTCTGTTGTATTTCTCCTTTGGTCCTTTCCCAAGGCCAGCTGCAGTCATAGAGCTGCGCTGTCATGGTGGCCACGTAGACAGCTAAAATCCTGAGAGAAAACCCATCTCTCTGGTTAGAGAAACTGGGGGGAAAGGATCCCTGTGTTCCAAACAGCGCAAAGTGAATCTTCGTTATTTGTTTGTCTTCGGCTCACAATTTCACCCCAAGGGCAGCCCCAGTCATATAGATCTGACTGACAGCTTGGAAGACTAAAACTGAGAGAAATTTGTCATTTTGGCCAGAGAAACTGGGGAAAAGGGCCCCTTGGAGCTAGAGAGTGTGGAGGAAATCCCAGAAAGGAGAGAGCTATAGAAGGGGAATCTCCTAATTTTGAGACCAACACAAGTCCTGGGCTTACCTCCAAGCTGTGCACATGCAAAACAGGCACAAAGAAACATAGCAAAGGCTTTGAGAATTAAGCTGCATTTAAATCATCAATCAAGCCAGGCATAGTGGTGCATGCTTGTAGTCCCAGCTACTTGGGAGGCTGAGGTAGGGGGATCACTTAAGGCCGGGTGTTCAAGACTGCAGTGCACTATGATTACACCTGTGAATAGCCACTGCCCTTCAGCCTGGGCAACATAACGAGACCCTGTCTCTAAAAAAATAGAATAAACCACCACTCAAGTCCCAGACTAACCCCTTGAGTAGTACGTGTGCTGGGCAGATCAAAACAGCATAGCAAAGGATCTGAAAACTGACTTTGGAACCACCATCTGCTGAAGATGAAACAAGACTTGTTGAACCTAATTGCCTGTTAAAACACTCGTAAAATGCACATTTTTTCAGATGATGTTAACAGGACCCAAAACCTCCCAACATAATATTCCAAACATCAAAGATAGAATCCACAATTACTTAACATAGAACCAGAAAAATCTGACCAACTCTCAAGGGAAAAACAATCAAATGCCAATCCTGAGGTGTTTTATTTTTT